GATGCTAATTGGGCAGAGAGTGATGATGATAGAAAAATCACTTCTGATGGATGTTTTTTTCTTGGGAAACAACCTTATCTCTTGGTTCAGTAAGAAGCATAATTGTGTGTCCCTATCCACTGTTGAGGCTGAGCATATTGCAGCAGGAAGCAGCTGTTCTCAGCTACCGTGGATGAAGCAGATCCCGAAGAAGTACAATATTAAGCATGATGTCATGACATTATACTATGACAACTTGAGTGCTATCAACATCTACAAAAATGTTGTTCAACATAGCAGGACAAAACATATCAACATTCATCATCATATCATCAGGGAGCTTGTTGAAGACAAAGTAGTCATTCTGGAACATGTAGCCACTGAGAAGTAACTTGATGATATTTTTACTAAGGATTTGGATGTAAATCAGTTTGAGAAGCTAAGGGGTGAACTGAGAATTTACATTTTTGAAGAATTATAACAATTAGTCTTGATTATGGAGGATACTAGGCATAACAGAAAGCTGGTGTCAAATTTATGCCTAAAAAGGGGGAGTAGTGGTGATGATAGTGATAGCAGGGTTAACAATGTTGTGAAAATGTCTCAGGTATCTCAAGGTGTTGTACATGGGAATAATGATGATCCCTAATTTTCTATGTTCTCTTTTGTGTTGTTGGGAGGTCTTTGTTGGTGGTCCTCAGATGTTATTTTTTATATTCTTACATCATTTCATCATGTGTCTGGGAGTTGTGTGGTTGTGTTCTTAAGGGGGAGCTTTGTGACAGGGGGAGTTCTGCTGATTTTGTGATGTTAGACAAGATGTCTTGACATTATATTTAGTTTTGTTTGTTGAATTGATGGCTATGCAATTCAGAGAAAGTTCTTGCTATTTTGTGATGAAGTTTTTTTCTGAAGTTTTTTGGGTCTTGCTGAGTTTTTCTTCCCGCTGTGTGTGCCACTGATGTGTTTTGTGTATGTTCTATTTGATTGCTGGTGTATTTGATTGTTCTCTGGTATTCCATGCAAAGGTTGTTTTTAGCCAAAATTTTCCAAAAGGGGAGATTGTAAGTTCTGTGGTTTTGGATTGACAGAAATTTTGTTAAAACAATTTTCAGCAAGATGTTGAGACATATGTCGTGACAAGTTAGTCAGATAGCATGATCAACATGATGCTGGGATATGTGGCCAGGACATGTTATGCCAGAAGTCTACGGATGGGATGATTTGGTATTTAAAGTGTGAGATTTGATAGTATTTTAATTCACACAGTATCGCAATCCAAAGAGGGATATTTTATGAACTTTTATCTTGATAGATTTGCTTGTATTTCTTAAAAAGGGTCTTGGAGCCTTTTTAGGAAACTTTATATTCAGTTCCTATTTATGTGCAAAAGATTTTGCAGAAGATTTGAAGCTATTGATTTATGATTTGCATTTTACTTAAATTGAAGAGCCCAAGACCAAGCTGATCTGAAGGCTATTTAAAGAGGAGTTCTAAACCTAATGAAGAAGAGAAGCCGTGTATTGAAAGAAAGAGTATTTAAGGTTTAGAGAGTTTTGTTCTTTGTGTTGTTTGTTATTTGTGATCCTCTCTTATGTCTTTTGACATTTGAGTTAGATTGTGTTGTTTGTGCATTTGTGAGCCATTAATGTACCCCTTAGGTGCTTGAATTGGACTGAGTCTTGAGTTGTAATCACTTCTTAGATTTTAAGCAAATAGTGAATTTTTTTGTCTTTGGAAGTGTGACTTCTAGTATTCTTTATTGTCGAGTTTGTCATTGTTGTGTGACTGGTGAGAAGTGAGAGGAGTCTCATATATAGGAGTTCCTAGGTAGAAGCTAGCACGGGTAATGATTAGGTGAGAAGCTTGTAAACCTGTGGGTGTTTGCTGTGGCTTTGAACTAATACTATTATAGTGGATTTCCTTCTTGGCTTAGATGGCCCCAGATGTAGGTGATGTTGCACCGAATTGGTTAACAATTGATTAGTTGTTTTTTACATTCAAGCTCTTATTATTTTTGCATAAGTTCTAGTTCCTATCTTGATCCCAGTGTCTTGACATCTGGTATCTGTGTGTCAAAATTTCAAAAATTAATTTGTGTTGAGTTTGATATATGTAATTATATGTAGGACTAATAGCAATACAACAATATAGATTATAATTTTGATACATGTAATGATGTTGCCTCTTGTATTGTTTGTATAGAGAATGACCGATAAATAACCAAAATACATGCATGTTCAATTATTGTAACTTGCTCCAGTTAGTAGAGAGAAAGCTGAATCTTCCAGGATAGAAATTACAGAGCTTGAAGTACATCAACCATCGACACCACTGAGGAACAATACACGGCAGACCTCGAGCCCATGAACATGGTCCCCCACCTGCTCCAGAACCTTTTCTCGCACATGCTCTCACACATGAGGGATTTTAAAGGCCTGTTAAACATGTTATTTCTTCCATTATTTGTAGGTCATGTTGCTCCACATGTTTGGAATTGAGAGGTAAATTATATATTTTTAATTTATTTAATCATATTTATCTTTGAAATTAATCATTTGACTATGATTCATTAACTTTTGCAGTTCTATGAGACGCTGAAGTGTGTCAACCATGGTATGGAGACTTCACAACTAGTGCAACTTGATGAATCATGGTTTCAATGTGTATTAATAACATCTAGACCAAAGATGTTTGTAAGATTGGATTTCAATACTTCTATCTAAATTTGTTTAGATATCTCACATAGAGACACTATCATTTCATCTGCCCATTAGTGAGTTGAGTATCACTCTTGATTATGTATCTTGCATCCTACATCTTTATGTCACATGTAAATTGTTAGGTCACTCTTCAATTATGAGATTTGAGACACTAGACTTAAAGGTTTTACACTTAGAAGCTGATCCGGGTAATGCCCAAAAAGAGATTATTAGTACGCGAGGAGCACATGCAATATTTTCATTTCTAAAAGATACTTACAAGGATTATTTAATTATTGCTATTACTCATGATGGTGATGATGCACTGGTTTCTTATCACAGACAATGCGCATCGAAGGCATTTTTCTTTTATTTGGTCAGCACGACATATTTTTGGACAAAAGTGTGACCTACGTGAATATTGTCTATGTTAACTACTTCATATACCTTGAGAGAATTCATGAGTACCATTTGGTAGAATCCTGTTTGGTTTACTTGTGCACTAAGCTAAATGAAGCAAGTCATTGGAAGACAAGACAAATGCCAGGAAACAATTGTATCTTTCAAGTAATCTACTTGCATGTAGCTTATTGAATTTATAATACTTTTGAAATTTTCATATATACTAATGAATTTTATCTCCACTATTTTTCAGGATTGGATCCTCCAACATTTTTCTGGAATCTACAGGTAGTAGATTGTTGTTGAATATGATAAAGAGTTACCTCATGCTTTCCTGATTAATCCGCACTAGGGAAATCCTTCGACCGAATCGTACATAAACGCTCTTGGTCGTATTTTGTTAGATGATATCTTTTTCACCTCATACGGTGAGCACCGTGATACATGACTTTTAGAGAAGATATGATGATATTCTGGATAGTTGGCTTTCGAGTCTCAATTTATGTACATGTATATACATGAACGAGTTTAAAGGCAAGTCGAGTATTTTTAGTGTATCCCTAGGGATCCTACATTAGTTACACCTCCCTTAGTCCACCATAGAGATATTTATGAGATATTTGTTGAGTACCACAAACATTTAGTACCATAGGATGTACGATGTATGTCAACTTCTAGTCCATGAAGTATGATATATGGTTATATTCAATACTAATACAGAGATTCCCATCCGTATCTAAAGTCAAAATCTACAGGGAGATCCTTCAAAGCCTGTAGGCCAACTTCTAGTCCATAAAGTATGATAAATGGTTACATTCAATACTAATACAAAGATTCCCATCCGTATCTAAAGTCAAAATCTAGAGGGAGATCCTCCAAAGCCTGTATGCCAACTTCTAATCCATGAAGTATGATATATGGTTACATTCAATACTAATACAGAGATTCCCATCCGTATCTAAAGTCAAAATCTAGAGGGAGATCCTCCAAAGCCTGAATGTCAACTTCTAATCCATGAAGTATGATATATGGTTACATTCAATACTAATACAGAGATTCCCATCCGTATCTAAAGTCAAAATCTAGAGGGAGATCTTCCAAAGCCTGTATGCCAACTTCTAGTCCATGAAGTATGATATATGGTTACATTCAATACTAATACAAAGATTCTCATCCATATCTAAAGTCAAAATTTAGAGAGAGATCCTCCAAAGCCAACTCATCAAGGAATCTTAGAAGAGAAACAAGTTAGAACAGTCCATGTTATAAATATCTAGCCCTATATCGTCACTAAACTTGAGGGTGCCAACACTAGATGAGAGGTACACAAATTCACTCATATCTAGGATTCGATACATGCAACATTGACAGAAGCATGAAGTGCTCTTCACTGTGGGAGACAAAGGAACAAGGATGTGCAAATGACTTAATAGATAAACCTTTTGAGTTTTAATTTATGACATTGTTCATGATATTAGTATTTGAACACACCGTGTAATTTATGACTTTGGTCCATATTAGTATTAGAACACACCATGCAAAGACGTCCTGGAAGTCACAAGTAAATGCTTCTTGTTTGTTGCAACCTAGAGTTTTATTTCCTCATATTCACACAACCCTTTTTCTATCCAACTCTATTTTCTCTTTTAATTATTTTTTCCCTCTCTTTAAAATAAATCGTGTGAGAACTACAATGAATGAAGATTCAAAACAAGAAATTGAGGGCAAAACAAAAAGCATTTATTTTGTAAAAAAGAACATTCATTATTCAACATAAACAACACATATACGATATATAACAATAATTATTAATTAAGTTCCAGTATATATAACAAAACAAATAGTTTTGTTTTATTATAAATAAAAAACAAAAACAAATAGACATTCATCATTAAATAATTGTTTTGGTTGGTTTAGCTAGACAGTGTTATTCATCTTGGAATCCAAAGCCAAAATGGTACTGAGATTCATTGGATATATGAACTCTGTGGAAGCTGTCATAATTTTCTCAACGATCAACTTGTTAGCTTTTTCTGATGGATGAAAAGAATCCCAAAACAAATAGTCTTCACGGTTTTGACATATATTTGATTCCACTGTGCATAATCCAATTCCATTAAAAGGTCCTTGACCACAGCATGCTTTTTTTGTTTCAGCAAATTCTACATTCACAATTTCACAACGTCAGTTTAAAATCAACTTTTCACTGCCAAAAATAACCTCTTCTAAAAATAACTATTCATATACCATTTTGAAATTCCAGCATCGCATCCATGGTTACGATGACGAAGACATCGGAACCAATTTTTCGGTTCAGTCCTACGATCATCTGAAAAAGTTGCGATTTATATAACGTTTCAGCACGCTTTAACTCAGACGAGCATTCGCCATTTGGTCCTCCTCGTTGGGCTAGCTCGGCTGGAGCGCAGCCCATTGGGCCCGTTCCAGTCACCACCACCCTACGCGCTCCAAGATTATATAGTCTCTAAAATAATCGCATAAAATTTTGTAACATTATTATTATTTTTAAAGCAAAAACTTATACAAATTGTATTAAAAATTACCCGTAAAATTTTCTTGTACTCGGTAGTCAGATACTTAACGAACTTTGGTAAATCATATTGGCGATGTCTTAGGGAATCGGATACAAAGTAGTAGTTATTCACAAAATCATTACCACCACATGAGATTAGTACTAATGCTCCATTTACTAATCTTATAGCTTCTTCATCTCCAATAATAGCACTTAATTTTTTCTTGTATTCTTCAAACAAACCTAACTGTTTGGGCATTCTGATTATTTCTATCTGCAAAATAAATGATATAGTAAAACTATATATTCAAAATTTAAATTAATGCTACAAATTAAAATTTGTAATTTTGACATACAAATTGAAATCCAGTGTCATTGAGAATTCCAACACCAGCAGAAGCAAAGTTGGCACCAACAAGCAAATTTTTTCCACTGAGCTTAGGACTTAAATATGGCAATGTGGGTTCTGATCCAAGTTCTTTACCTATAAATATCAAAAATATATTCGAGTTAATTAATTCGTGAAACACAATAATACAAATATAAAGAAAATAATTAAATTAATTTACGCAACTGATAAAGTCAGGAATGTTTAAGCCGTTAGAGAAACGTCCGGTGGGTTGACCAGTCGGATAATCAATGCCATAAGGCGGAGCATTGGCTCGAGCCGATGTGGCCAAGTAATTGTTGTTGCCATTATCCACGAGTGAATCTCCAAACACAAAGAAAGCGCGAGCCGCATCGACACCATTGATATAACCATTTGATAAACCAAAAATTACAACAATGTAGGATGTGAAAACAAGAAAACTAGCCATGATTGTTGGAGTTGAATGAATATGGCTAGGAGAAAATGGTTTTAATAATTGTTGATTCATGTGTCACATTTAGAAAATGAATGTTTGACAAAGGTATGGTTAGTTGCATTTTGTATTTATGTGGAATTAATTAATTACTGATTAACTGTTTATTTGTTATGCAATTTAAGGTAGTGATTTGTGAGGTTATACCTGACAAATTGAAGCAAAGAGTGTTTGATATAATGTTGGTAGAATTCACTTTCTTTTAGAAGTGACATTTGCTCAAAGAGTAACTAATTGTTGCATTATTTGGTAATTTCATTTGGTTTATATTTTGTTCCTTAAATAGAGGTAGGGTTAATTTTTTGGAGAAATGTTATTACATCTTTATTGATTTCGTACCAAATTTTTCATAAAAATGGATAATTTTAATATAGTGCGGCAAATTTCAAAGATGACCTTTGTTTAAGAAGGTTTTAGGTTAATGGGATTTTTCTTTATCGAATCTATAATAAAATAAATGTTTAATTAATGCGGTAATCCAAACAAAGTAGGTAGTAATCTTACCTGGATGAAGGATGGTTTTGGAAAAATGACTTTGATATTAGTTTGAGTTTTAAAGATTGAAGTTGATTGAAAGTAAAGTGACTCAAATTAAAAATGCCTTAGAGTTAAATTAATCTTGGTTCTCAAATAAATAAAAAAAGTAAAAATGAAAATCTTTTTTATCTACACACACCTGTCCCACTCTCTCCGTTATATTGAAAGTTTGTTCCACCACACTGTAATACCTTAATTTTTAATTCTAAGATCCCACATATCATTTGCATCTCATCCTACAAACAAGATCGCAAGTTTTGGTTCTCTTTTGTCTTTCTCTGTAGGTTTATTTTTGAGCGATCACCGGACACCATTGTTTCTTGTTTGTTTGATATTCGTTTATATCTATGTTTACTAACCATTAATTAAAATCCAAAAAATGTTTGTTTTTCCTTTACTAACTTTTTCAGGAAGAATTTGGATCAAAGATATCAAATATCAGTCCCTCAACTCAAGTGAATTTCATCTGAAAAAAGTCGAAGTTGATCCGCAAACAATTCAAATCATTTGATCAAGAGTCTCCCAAGATTTGATTGACTTTTATTTAAGAGACTCCAAGGTTCATGTGTTTATTTCCATGCCTTTTTTGACAAGCAAAAGAATCGAGCCAGAGCCAAGACATCACATCATAAAAGCCATTTTCACCATTTTTGTCCGAGGTAATCGGTTACCAATATTGGGTAACCGATTACCCTGTCCGAATTTTGTGAAAATTGGGCAAATTCAAATTCTTCAGCATTTTTGGCACCAAATTTAAATATTGCAACATGAGAATATTCTAGATCACTTCATTTTAAATCTCCTACCTCATTATAATTAATTTCCACCATACACCTTCACTAATCACCACTTGATCATTAATTTCCCTCCAAATTCAAATTTCAAGCCTAATTTTGATTACAAACCAAATTCCAATCACCAAATTTTCCAAGCCTAAATTCTGTAAATAGAGGCCTCATTTCTCTCATTTAATAAGCTTTTGATAGCCAAAATCACCTTGTCAAATTCCTTCTTGACTCTCAATTTTCTTCAATTACCAAATTCACCAAAACTCTTTCATGCTCAATTGCATCCTTGATCATGAGGTGTTTGAAGAAATGATGATCAAGTTTCTATACATTTTCAGACTCTTTTGCTGCTGTTTTGGCAGTGGTAACAGATTACCAACTTTGGGTAATCGGTTACCCAGTGTTTTTTTTTGACGTTTTGGCTATATTTTACTGTTGTTTTAGCAGTGGTAACCGGTTACCAGCTTTGAGTAACCGGTTACCCAGTGTCTATTTTTTCTTTTTGGCTTTGTTTTAGAACTATTTTGGTTCTTTCTTCTTCTTCTCCCATTTCCTTTTGATTTTTGCCTTGAAATACACTTTTAAAGGTCTTTTTTCTCTTTAAATTCATTGGACTTAGGGTGTAGATAAAGTTGGATAAACATTCACTAATTCAAATCTATCTTTAAAGTCAATTGTTTAATTTATTTTAGGTACTTTGAGTTAATGATATGTTTAGTGCTTTAATCCACCAAGATGAGTGGATGAACTTAAAGATGAAATGATCTTGAACTTGTAATTCAATTTGGAATTCCCTCTCCTCTTCTCTTTTTCTTTTGATCGATGAAAATCTTCGATATCGTTTGAACTTATTTCAAGTTCTTGATGAAGATGAGATCGTTACCTATTTTCTTTTCGTGCGGCATTGCTTTCAGAAAGTGATCTACATATCACTTCTCTAGCATGCATTAGCACTAACATTGTTATTGACCAACCTTAGATAGTCGTGGTTTCTACATAAACCCGATTAAAATTGCTTAACATAACGCTAAATTGTCCCGTAATTGGAAAGTGATCATTCGTGGCTCAAACCTATGTTTTAAAGTCCAAGTATGGTTGATTATTTGTCTTAAGTCAATCACCTATGAAACTTGTTGTTAGGAGGCTTTGATTTTATCAATCCTCTAATGAGTCTTCATCAACTTTGGCTTAAGTGCATGAGTTAATCATCGTTGATCATTTACTATAACGACTAATCATTAACTCACTAACGATATCATTATACTAATTTTGTTTATGTATCATTCTTGCTCCCTATCTCTCTTTTATATTTATGCTTCATTTTTATCATCTCACATCATATTATTGTTTATGTTTCTACTCTTTTCTTTTGTCCACTTGGACCATATCTTGTTCAAAATACTAATAAATGATTAAACCTCTAAAAAACTCGGCGCTCTTAACTTTGTGGCTATGCTCTTGGACTATTCTTGGACCCTTGGACTTAGAATTAGGTCTCTTTCCCTATTCTTGGAGTATTATGGATCTTTGTCTTTATTTGGCTTGTTCACTTGCTTATGCTCAAGACAGATGGAATTCTTATTTGGCTTGCTATGGAGTGTGCTACAAGTTGGTTAGATCCTTCTTATCTCTAGCTTTTATTTTGCTTTCTAGGGTAGTCACTCCATCTTCTCCCCTTCTTAAAATTTCAAAATCTCCTCCATTTTTTCAAAAACTTTCTTGCTTTCAAACTTCAAAACAACTTTCACAATAAAACCTTGACTTTTGTCAACTGATTTTTAAACTTTGTTTTTCTTAATAAATATCAATCAATGTTAATCATATTTTGACCAATTTCAAAAAGATATAAAAAACACTTTATCTTATTCAAACTTTTTGTGCCTTTATGCACTTTTCATTTTAAAACTTTTCATAAAGTTTAGACATGAGTCATTTCCATAGTTGAGATATAATTGTCCTATTCTCCATAGTATTAAGATGTTGACATTTTCCACTTAGATGTTGAGTGATAAACTTGTTGATAATCCAAGCAAAATCCTCCATCTTTAGGTGATGCAAATGTTGTCTTATACTTGTGGGTGACTAGTCGTAGTTTTCTCCTTAAAATGACGACTTGTCTTTACATTTAAAAATTAATCAAAACCAACACATTTTTGTTATTTGTACCATGAACTACGAGGTTTTGATCCTATATTGCACTTTGTGGGTACGTAGGCATGAGGCGATAAGTCTCTCCAAACACAAAAATCTAAAAAATAATTCTGTTCTCATCTCCCAAATCTTCTTTCAAACAAACCTTGTTTCAAACCAAAAAGCATAAATATTTCAAAGGGCTCCTATAGAGTACAGAGGGGCTACTCTAGTCACTCAAAGTCTTAGCTAAGTAAGGAACAGACTCTCCAAACTATAGACATTTTGGGTGCTAACACCTTCCCATTGTGTAACCAATCCCCTTACCCAGATCTCTGTTCTTGTTCTTGTTTTAGAACTCTTTGGTTTTGTTTGCTCTTTTTCCTTTCTTTTTTTGGATAAAAATAAAAGTGCGTGGCTACTCTTGCATTTTTTAGTAAAGTTAATCAATAACTTACACTCACAAATTTTACCGCTACAGAAAAATGGTGACTCTGCTGGGGAATATTCCGGTTCCTAGTGGATTTCGCCTAATTTGATTTATTTATCGCTTTTTGTTTGATTTGTTTATTATTGCTTGTTCTGTTTGGGTGCCTAGTGATATGTGTGGTGATACAAGATTATGAGGGTGGTATTACGTGGAATAGTCCTTACTAAGCTGACTTGAGATCCCCTTCTCAGTGGAGGCCCCTTTGGGATTACTGATGTCTTATGATTAGTCATAATCGGCATTACTTTTTCTGACCTGGGAGCCTGAGAAGCTCCTTAGAATCCTTTAACCCATTTGGCCTTACTAGGACGTGATGTGGTGGCTATTCAGGTGTAGACTTGAATTAGTTGTTACGCGATACCACACTCAGACGAGTTTCTCTTGAGAATATTGTTGGCCGACGAGTAGTCGTTTAAGGTGATAATATCCAAAAGATGGAATTATGACTCTAGGAACTTTTTTAGAACCTTGTTCTACAGGTGATGATATAACCTTAGTACACACCATTATGGGTTGGTTCTTACCTTTGGCTCCATGCTCGTGCCGAACCTTTGAACTTGTGTGCTTTGTGTGTCTTGTTTGTGGGTGTTGCATCTTGCATTCATGCATTCATGGGCATTTTGTTTCAATCATTTTTTAAGGATCTTAGAGATTTTCCTTTGCAAATATCGCAGATATTGTGATTATGGATATTGGAAGGAGAAACACTCAGAAGTATGGTTTTCGAACTCCCAATCTTACAGATTTGAGAAAGCTAGTGTCCTTGGTAGTTGACCGTTCAGGCTTCAGATCTCGTTGTAGGAGGCTTCTATATGTTCTTTCTACCAACACGGAAGATAGAATTCTGAACACCCTTGTGCAATTCTATGATCCTGTCTACCGATGCTTTACTTTTCCTGATTATCTGCTATTGCCAACCTTAGAGAAGTATGCCTATCTTATGGGTGTGCCAGTCTTTATTGAGTTTCTTGAGCGACGTGCCGTGAAGAGACATGCAGAGGGTTTATTTT